CAACCACAACCACAACCACAACCACAACCACAACCACAACCACAACCTCTGACCGACCAACACCCAGCCACCGACATCAACCCTCTACCACCCCCACACTCACACCTGCCCCGTCCACTTCGCAAACACATGACATGACACCCAAGGGCTTTGGCCGCGGTGTGCCTCCACCACTGGCACACGACCGCTACAGATGGATGCTCAGCCAATGCACACCCATCTCCTCTCCGCCCAATCAACCTATTCCCGTCAGGATCCACCCCACATGACATTCAGCCACTCTACGGCTTGAACATTCCCGTCCATGGCCCAGCAACCCTCACACCCCTCCCCCAATCCTACACCACTCAACAACAAACCACTGTCCAAACCCACACCCACACTGGCATTGTCCCACCCCGCCCAATCCACTCCGAGGCATGGGATGCCACTGGATCGGCGCCGTGAAGGAACATCAGAATCAGTATGGCCGAGCGATTTTTAATGTCTTTACCACTCAACATCTCCTCGCCCAGAAAAAGACCGGAGTGATCGATACAATTCAGGACCTTTTATGAATCCTACTTCATGCACTGTCATATTGTACATACTTCTTCTCCAGATGCTGTACTATTGGTATACAGTTGACTTGACCAAGCGTGTGAGATCTTTTTTGCTTTACTGCTTTATTGTGCCATTCACCTATGCAGTTGTTTTCCATCATCTATTCCTCTACCAACTCTGTTTGCTGGACATTTTGTGTACATACTCATTGGTATTCTACATTTATTACTTATCCAGCTGCTCAAATTCGATTTCTCGTGAACAGCCGCACCACTCTTAATTCTACCATCCGTACCCTTCACCGCAGCCACCAGCCACAGAGAGTGGAGCCACCACCCCGCCTCCTACGCCTGTTCTTCCACCGGAACCGTTGCATCCCCCACGTGTTCCATTGCCACCAGCTCACACCACACTTTCCAGCATTCCACCCAACACACCGACCAGACCATCCGTTCCACTTGGACAGACAGCGATACTCCCCTCGATACCAATACACTCAACGGCCAAACCTTGTTCAAAACCATTCAACCCAGGGCATTGTCCCGCAAACACAATCTTGCGGGACAACCCACCCTGTCCATATTCCCCTGGCAGTTGAACAGATTGGAGTTTCAGATCAGAGCATGAGAACACATTTTTAAGGACGCTACACAGGTATTGTGGCGACTCGCTGAATAGCTGAAGGGGTCTTTACATCACAATTGCTCTCAGACATCTGCACCAGGAACCTTGACATCGACTCCATTGCCAAATACCTTCACCAACAGAGTGGTCAACCCATCCCTAATAAGACCACGGATGCCAAGGCCTTTATGGCACCACTGATTTCAAAGCTGTCCGATTATCTCATTCCTTACCCCGCCAGCAGGCGAGGGCACAGCATTGCGACGTCTCCAACAACAGACCGACAGACTTCAACAACAACAGGACGAGTTACAACGTGCCCGCGACAAGTGCGGCTCCTGCACCCTCAGCTCCATCCGCACCAGCCCTACCACTCACAGCGCCTACCACACACCCGACCCCTTCACTCACCCAAGAAACCATTCTCAACCTCACTTCCCAAGCACTTCAAGATTCGAAACCCCCAACCTGGACCCAACCGGCAATCCAGAAATGGATCAAGAGCTACCCAGCCGCTACTCAACACCACCTCAACAACATTTTGCAGGTGCTCAAGGATGAACACGTCTCCAAAGGGCAACTACAGGAAGCAGCTAGGGCCTTCCATTGGCCCGCGTACTCAAGCTCCCACCCAAGGCACTCCAACATATATATATATATATGTCTCTCCACCCAGATGCTCATGAGTGCTCATGGACCCAACACCCAGGGCTGAGCCTTTGTGCGCATTCCCTCAAACTGGTCACGCAGTGGAGGCTGCAGAGGTAGGACCCCCCTAAGGCCCTAAGGGGCTTGTCACCAAACAGTTGGAGGGCTTTTCAAGCATCTAATGTCGGGGAAGTGACACATCGAAACCTGCAGACCACTCAGATTCTGGAGAAAAGAGTTGCCCTTCAGTAGTCCATTCTCAGATTCTATGTGTCACTTACCCAGTGAATGTCTTCAGTCTTGAAAACTGCTTTGCAAGACCCACCGAAGCCACACAAATAGGACTCCCCAGCTGCCACGCAGAGGTAGGCGGATAGATGCCTTGGGAGCAGCACTCTCCGCTTGACTCTGTGCACAAGCCCAACTCCAGCCCAGCCATCACTATTTGCAATCACTGTGCGCACTGCATGCAGCTCCTTCGACGTCCATCACACACCATGTAGCAATGCACTTGTTCCTAGTAGCTTCTTGTTACTACTAGTAAGG